GGAATAAATTACTACGGCTTTTTCCAACAAAAAGTTTATTGTGGATTAGCGATGATTTGCTGCTGCGAAACTACTTCTTATTATGTTATTATACAATATTTTTCTCTTTCAGAGAACTTGGGCTTATAAAAATTTCTCCTAAAATCAACGATAAATTATCATTTAAACACATGCCAAACATCAATTTAGAACAAGTAATCGCCAAATTAAAAAAAAATTCAAGAAATCAAACAAACTTGCCAAAAAGAACAAAATGCAGTGTTCAAGATTATTCTTTAGAAACTATTGCTTCGAGCATCATTCTTTCCTGTTTGGAAATAACTAACTCCTCCTTCTAATAAAAGTTCCTTTAATTGTTTTACGAACTCCCGAACCTTTTTTTTAGGCAGTTGTTGAGCCAAAGAATAATATTTATAACGATTTATCTTTAATTGAAATTCTACTCATCTCATTATTCTTTTCTCATAAACTTTTTGTACTTCTCGATTAGGAACTGCTAGTTCATAAGCATCGGTTTGTAAAGAAGACTTGGTCATCGGACTCAGATAGCCACTGAAAAGTAATAAACTAAAAAGAATTTCGGGTTGCTCAAAATCACTAAAACTAATTTCTTTTTCGATGGGGGAAACGATGCTCTTGCCACGAACCAATTGTTGAATTTGTTCTTGAACTTCATCATTCAAAAAGGCTTTTTCTAGTAAGTCCATATTACCACTATCTATTCAATAGTTATCTAATTTACCTTTTTCATCTAGGCAACGCATGATAGACAAAGGATTATAAACCGTTTGCCCACCAAAATTATAGCCATTATATCACTTCTTAATCTTACCTTTGTTAATAATTGCCGGCACTTTAACTAGTAATTCATCAACTTCTTCTTGAGTAAATCCGTAATATTCAGTAAATCTTTCTTCTAATAAGCCATATTCGGCGACGTTATTTAAACCAGAGAACAAGTTAGACTTGGCTATTTTCAAAATGCCAGTTAGGACACTTTT